AAAAAAAAAAAAAAAACCCTGCTATTCATTATTCATAGACTTTATTTTATTCATTTATTTATTTGAGACAGAGCCTTAAGCTGTCGCCCTGGGCAGAGTGCTATGGCCTCATAGCTCACAGCAACCTCCAACTCCTGAGCTCAGGCAATTGTCCTGCATCTGCATGCCAAGTAGCTGGGACTACAGGCACCTGCCATAATGCCTGGCTATTTTTTGGTCGCAGCTGTCATTGTTGTTTGGCAGGCCAAGCTGTATTTAAACCCACCAACTCAGGTGCACCTTAGCCCAAGCAGGCACTGAGCCTGATCATAGACTGTAGATCAGCAGTTCTCAACCTGTGGGTCCCAACCTACAGGAACTGTATTAAAGGGCCACAGCAATTAGGAAGGTTTAGAACTACTGCTTTAGATGCAAGTCCGGACAGTGGCTGTTGGAAGGGTATGTCCAAGCTGTGGCTGGCTGGCTGGAGGGCGATGCCATGCAATGGTAAGGATTTTATTGGCAGCCCTGCATGGCTGGGCTTAAATTCAACAGTTAAATATAACACCCTGCCTCCCCTGCCCTGAGCTGCTGGGCTCACTGACCAAAAATAAACAAGGCTTTTTACTTTACCTACCTTGAGCCTTAGAGTGATTGGATTCCTCCCTGAAAAACTAAATAAAAATCGTAGATAAGTCTGACATATCATTCCAAAGGACCTTGCAATAAGAAGCTTTCAGTATGTGCTCTGCAGAGAGTAGCCAGTTTCTAGAGGAATGCTATCCAATAGAACTTTGTGTGGTGATAGAAATCTATATCCGCTATGCAGTATAGTAGCAGCTAACCACATGTGGCTATTGAAAACGTCACATGTGGCTACTGCAATTAAGGGCTTAAATTTTTTTAATGTAATCACTTAAGCCCAAGAGTTTGGGGGTGCTGTGAGCTGTGATACTACAGCACTCTACCAAAGGTGACATAGACCCTGTCTCTAAAAATATAAAATAAAGAAAGAAATTTTAAATGATCACATGTGGTTAATGGCTACCTTAACCAGACTAGCAGTAAAGTAGAAACTGTGTGGCATACTTGAGATCTTGATAATGTTAGAGACCAGTATTGGTGGCAGGTAAGGATTAGGAAGGGAGAAGAATTTCTTAGCACTATGCACTTTTCTCTACTTAAATTGCACAGCTTAGGTGGCCAGGATCAGTGGCTCATATCTGTAATCCTAACACTTCGGGAGCCCATGGCGGGTAGATTGCTTAAGTTAGGGAGTTTGAGACTGAACTGAATAAGAGCAAGACCCCATCTCTTAAAAACAGCTAAGCATTGTGGCATGAGCCTGTAGTCCCAGCTACTCCGGACACTGAGGAAAGAGGATCACTTGAGCCCCAGAGTTTGAGGTTGCCATGACCTATGATGCTAGGGCATTCTACCAAGGGTGACAAAGTGAGACTGTCTCAAAGAAAAAATTAAAATTAAAACAAAGTACAAGGTTTAGGAGAATGAATATACTCAGGAAGTTGAGCACAAAGGAACTTGAGGAATGTCGTCCTGACCTCATAAATTTTGTGTTAATCGGGAAAGTGACAGAACCGGCCCCCACAGGTGGTTACAGCTGCCCAGTTGGTTACACCTGCCCATGCTAGGTGCATAATGTTCAGAGCCTTCCGCTCTGATTAGAAACCATTTATGATCTTGTGCTAGAAAGCTAGTAATAGTGCCTCCCAGCATCTTTTTGAGGGGTTTGATGGCAGAAGGAAAGACATTAATAATTCTTTGTGTGTGATACATAGAAAATATATATATATATATATTTTTTTTTTTTTTTTTTTTTTTT